CCTTGCTTCGTATCTCGGGGATCCTCGATGGATCGACAAAGTATTCGATGAGTTCGGGTATGGCGCCCTGCCCGGACTCCAGCATTTCGAGCGCGCTCTTCCTCCTGTGATGCGCCACTGCCGAGCCTCTGTCCTCGACGACGCGAAGTCTCCCTTTGGGGAAGAGCTCTTCTTGAGAGGCGAGTTCGAGCTCGAGTTCGTACTTGCCATCGCCATCGAGGCGGAGGCGAGAGACTCTCACGCGCTCGATGGAGCGAGGCTTCTTCTCGAGTGATTCGAGCTGCACCGGGATGTCCAAATCGATCGCTTTCTTCTTCTTCAAGTCGCCGCTGTCCTTATCGCACCACGCTTCGATGAGCTTGTTCGGTTCCCGAGGGCGAACTCGCACGATCGTTTTGCCCTCCTTGCCGCGACGTGTTCCAATAACCTCTCCGTATTCCGGCTCGTGTTCGCGGATGCGATCGAAGCGCTCTCTCTCGAGCTTCAGCTCCATCGCTTCGTATGCCATCCACGCGCTCAAGTGAGGACTCTTCAAGGGGTAGAGGAGCTCCAGGGCGATGCCGCTAGCTGGTGCCTCGCTCAGGATCACAGGATCTACCATGAGGCCGATGAAGCGAACCGCAGGCGCTCTCAATGTGCTGCAACGATCTGGATCGAAGCGATGCGCGACGAGCACCTCGGAGACGCCATCTTCGACCTCTTCGATCAGGCACGTGAGCGCGCCCCCATCCTTGAAAAGAATCTCGACCTCCTTGACATGGCCCTCGGATGGATGGAGGAGGATCGTCGACGCGATGACCATCGCGCAGGCGGGTGACTCTGTGGGCAGCGGCAAAGACATCGACTCGCGCAAGATATCCCTATTTTTCCAGGGCATCTGCCCCAGGAGCTCGTCGGAGACCACGATCGTGAGCTGCTCTTCTAGCGTGGATGGCAAGACTGAGCCGCAGAGCGTGAGGTATCCGCCAAGGAGATCGTCATCGCTCCTCGAGAGCGCCAACATCGCGACCCAGGGGGTGGGAGCATCCTTGATGTAGTCCCTGAGCTCACGCAGACCCTTTCGCGTAGCAAGCTCTAGCTCGAAGACAGTACTGCCAACTCGAGCGCTCACCCGAGGGCCATCCTCGAGCGTGACCCACTCGCGCATGTCCGCCTCTCCAGCTGCGAGTTCCACCGCCCTGCGGTGTGTGCTCCCTTGTACGATCTGAGCAGACACAGGGAAGTTGCGTGAGTTCGGAAAGGTCCAGTTCAAAAAATTCGTCGACATTCTCACTCCTCCACCAACCTGAGCGCTCCCATGCGCACTCCTTCGAGCATTTCTGCCACCATGATCCCGAACCCTGCGCCATGCTCTCCGTCTCCGGTTTCGATACGAGGACCACGCGCGGACTTGTTTTCATCCAACAGGCAGACCTGGAGCGCCCTGAAGCGTGCGGCCATATCCCGGCTCCACTCCGCGTCGACGCTGACCAAGTGATCGAACTCATCGCTTTGTCTCAAGCGCAGCAACGCCAGCGTGATGCACCCGAGCTCGTTCAAGACAGAGGGCGCGAGCCCCTCCTCGAGCCAGCTCTCTTCGAGCTCTTCCAATACTCGCGCGACCATACCCTGGAGCCTCTCCACGAGCGCCGGGGTGCAACCTCGCACCGATCCCTCACGAGCCCATAACGCGGTCGTCATCATCCACAACGCGGCCTCGATCTGAGGGGTGAGTTGGTCAGCATCTTCCACGCCAGCGATGCCTCTCTCGAAGGACTCGAGGAATGCCACGGTCGAGCCTTCGCCGGGCCGAATGACTCGACCGAGCGTGTGGAACAAATCCACTCTGCTCTCCATGCTGACCTCCTCGACGAGTCGTATCACTGCCGCTGGTGGCGCGTGGTGATAGAGTCTCCCGAGCGCTCTCGTCGCGTCGTCTCTGACTCTGTCGAGCAGGCTGCGCAGCGCGCCGTTCTTTTTCTCCGATGTCGCTCTGAACAACGTCGGCATCCCGCGGCGTTCTCCCACTGCTCGCTCCAGGTCAGCGAGATCGATGAAGCACTGGGCGAGCGCTGCGATCTTGGTCCGTCGATCCTCGGGTATGTCAGGCAACCTCGCCGCGGCGAAGACGCGCCTGCTTTGCGCTTCGCAAGCTGCGATCGCCTCGAGCAATACTTCGACTTCTCGCTCCATCTCGCGCAAATGTGCCGTCTTCTTCATCCTTGCCGCGGGGTTGCCTGCTTCGAGGCTGCTTCGCGCGCGCTGGAGCGCTTTAAAGCAATCGTCGATGAGGATCTCCAGCGCGACATCAGCGCGTTCAGTCCACGCTTCGTCCGCCTCGAAGGTGGGGGGCTCGTTGCTCGCGGTAGGGGTGTCGAATGCATCCTCGCCAGCGCCTCGGCGCCAGCGCACCTCGATGCGCTGAAAAGGCGCCGAGGCATCCTCCGCAATCAGCATCACGCGAAACGCGTCCTGCGCGTAGCGATAGGTTGTCTCGATCCTGACGCGGACGGCGCGCTGTAGCGGAAATGTCTCGTGCTCGATGTGAGCGATAAAGCAGGAGCGGTCATCCTCTGCACCGACCTCGATAGGCAACCCGAGCGTCGACACGTCAGGTGGGATCTCGAACCGTGCTCGGGGCGACCACTCGATCTTTTGAGATGGCCTCACGCCACCGAGCACGACGCCTGGATCGAGCAGCGGAACGCGCTCGCCCTTCACGTTCAGGTGTAACGCCGGGATCATGTCCCGATAAGTGGGTAGATCGCGAAGGTGCCGATCGAGGAAGAGCTCACAACCTCGCGCGACGGCCGAAGAGCCGAGGAGCTCGAGCGTGGCGTCGGGTGGCAGTTGACAGGAGAGCTCGTGCCTCAACCAGACCTCCTCGAAGCCTCGCCAGCCGATCACGATCACGCGCATTGATGCTGCGCGCTCGAGCGAGCCCTCCAGCGCGCGTTCGAGGTGCCTGCCTTCGAGCCATTCTTTAAAAGCCTGGACAGATCGAGCGCTGTTGTCCCCCGACAGCTCGTGTCCGCACCGCACCCTCGCGATGCGCCACGAGCCATCCTCTCCTCGCCAGGGGAATCGCATGGGCACATCATCTGATCGTTCGAATGACCACCCCGCGTCGACCAACCTTTGTACGAGCGCTTCGCGCTTGAGGAGCTCCTCCCTGTCAGGGAGGAGCTCCTCAAGCGCGTCCTCCATTCGTCGAAAGAGGCCCGAGTCGCCACATGGCGTTGGTCTGACAGGAGCAGTCCGCTCCCAAAAGAACGCCTCCGGGGTATGTTCTTCACCATCATACTTCGCTACGAGCTTTGTCACCGTCGGTGAGGGTGAGCCCAGATCCAGGACGAGCATCGGAGCGTCGACCTCGATAGGTGAGGATGGTTCCCCGCTGACCACGAGCGCTGCCGCGACTGATCTCCAGATCGACCATCGCGCGCGCGCTGTGGGCATCGCCCCCCACAGCTTCGCCAAACCCACCTCGTCCATACTGTCCGGCGTTGCATACGTGTACTGGATGATGTGTTCAGCTCCGGCCTGTTGGTAAGCGCCGAGCGCAGCGCGCATCGCTCTCTCATCGAGCTCGGCTGGCTCGTCTTCACTCGACAGCAGAGACTCCCAGATCAAGCGCGCGCCCACCAGATCAACGTGGCTCTTCGCAGCGACGTCGCCACTCGCTCGCACATCTTCACCGAGGTCCGCGGTGAGGAGCAGCTCGCCGGAGCAGCGTGCGTGATCGAGCGAAAGCAACGCTCGGTTCCCCAGAAGATCGACGCCAACGCATCTCCCATCCTCCAAAGCACTCGATGATTTCCCTGAAGGCGCGGGGTGAGCATCGAGTGACTTTGCGAGCCACTGACTGATAGAGCTCACGCCCTCACGATCTGCGTGGGCTTCGTAAAGGTCATCCTCTCCCAGATAGAGCGTGAGCTTTGCTCCGCGAGCTGTATCGATTGTCTCGTTCGACTCGAACGACGCGCTCAGCACTCTGCACCGCGCGCCACTTCGCTCCAGAGGTGCGACCTCTCCCGAGGCAAAAGAGCGCTCTCTTATCAGGAGCCTCGGTGCCTCACCCAGTCCTCGAGTCACGAGCGCCAGTGAGACCAGCCTGTCAACCTCACCATTCAAGATGGCAACATGGAGCCAGTCGCCCTCGAGGATCAAACCACCAGGAGATGCCTCGTACCGGAATGGCTGCTCGGGCACCCACGCGCCAGGAGCTTCGCTGAGCCTTGCGAACGTGGCCCAGAGGATCGCCTCCATGACGGTAACTTCGCGGCGTCGCCAGCGCGTCTCCCAACGATCGTCCCAGGAGCGCACGAGCCTGTAGAAGCGCCAGACAAAGCCGTAGCGAGGATCAGAGATGAGCGCATTGTTCGGCTCGTGGGGACCCGCTCCGGAGATTTTACAGAGCGGGCTAGACGGTTCATCGAGCGCCTCGAGCGCTCGCAACATACCCGCCAAGCGTTCGGTCTCTCTCCCCAAAGACTCTTCATCTTCGATCCGCTTCTTTAGCGAGCTCCCGAGCGTGTCCGCGAGGTGTCGAACCAGCCGATTCTCTGCCGTGTTCGCTGACTGGATTCGACGCGGCGCGCTGATCGAGCGCGCCGCGCGGATGCGATCCTGGGTGCTCTTCCCTGGGATCCTGGCGAGCTTGACGAGGGAGCGACGATCGAACTCCCTGACCTTGTGCGCGGGGATCCTCTCGTGCACGCGCCGAACCTCTGTGCGAGGCGCCGCATCGATCGCTTCGATGGCGCGCTGGAGTGGCTTTAACGCTGCCACGACAGGGTCGTGCGAGGGGCGCTTCGGATCGAGCTCCCGGAGCACACGAGAGGTGACCTGAGAGGTCGAGCTCGGTCGCGGCGAGAGCGTCACGCGATCGAGCTCGAACGATGCAAGCAATAATCCATCGAGATCCTGGATGGTCCTCACCCATGCGCGCTCGTCTGCTGTGAGAGTTCGCCAGGAGCGGCCGGATAACTCGATCCTGGGTATAGAAGGTGCGCCCACCATCAACCATCCTCCCTGGTGAGGTACTCCGCGCTGCGCAGCACGAAGGAGCCATGAGATGACTCGCGAGCTTTGTTGAAGTCCTCGACGATCCCGCCAGCGCGCTCGCGTAGCACGTCCTCGATCTCGCCAAGGCACGCGCGCCCGGACCTCGTGTCTGTGGCGACGCCGCGGAGCTTGGGCATGACCTTTTGCATGAGCTGATCCTCGAACGCTCGCCGCCACGCATCATCTGATGAAGCATTCGCGCTCGCGACGGCGGGGTGATTGGTCACGTACGCCTCGATCGCTTGCAAGACGCGGTGCCCGATGGCGCGCTCGACCCCTGACATCGCCTGGTTGATCGCGTCGAGCGCGTCGCGAAGGTTTTCGCGCGCCTCGACCCCAAAGCCTGGCGCGCTCTCGCCGCCAGGGTGCTTGATCCACGAACTCCACCTCTCTTTCTGGATGCGCTCGTCGTAGCGCTCGAGCGCTCTCGTGGAGTCACGACTCTCGAGGCGGCGAGGGCGAGGGAACGAGATGACGTTGCCTCGATCCAGGATCTTGTCCGAGAGGGTTTGCGTGGTCTCATCCTCGTTCATCGTCCCGACAAAGAGGACGTTGTCCGGGAGCGTCAGCTCGGTCGAGTACCCGCCACCGAGGTTCACCTCGATCGCGATCTTCTCCTCGTCCGAGAGCCCTCGCCTCGCCTCGAGCTTGCTGTTGAACTCGCTAAAATAGAGCTCGATACGCGCCAGGTTCATCTCGTCGAGCAGGACGAGGAGGAGCTCGCGCTCGAAGCCATCGCGATCCTCCCTTTTACGCTGGCTCTGGGTCAGCGCGCGCACAAAAGGGGTCGCCTGGTAGCTGTTGTCCATGTAATTGAAAAAACCGAGCAAATCCTGTGGGCTGTCCCAATTCGGCTGGACCGAGACCATCTGGTAATGCAACCCGCCAAAGCGCGAATACAACCTCGCGAGCTCGCTCTTGCCTGTCCCACTCACCCCAGCCATGACGGTCAACGGCGCCCACCGCGCGATCTTGAGCGAGGTGTGAAACGAGTCGACGAGGCGCTCGGGGAAGACGAAACCCTCCTGTCGAATCCTCTCCTTGACCCCCTTCAACCAGTCGCGCTCGATCTGCTTCTTCTGCGGCATCGTGCCCTCCACCGCGATCACAGGTCGATGCAGCGGCTCCTCCCTCGCTGCTCGATCCACCACGAGCGCGCGCTGCGTTTCTTCGAGTTGCTGCTCGATCTTTTCGAGCCGACCTCTCACTTCCCCCAACTCTCCAGTCTTTTCCCCGATGTCACCCTCGAGCTGCGCGAGCGCTTCTTCCCTCGTAGTCTTTTGTTCCAGCAGCTCCGCGAGTTGGCTCTCGAGGCACGCGCGGTTCCCCTCGAGCCCATTGATCTCTTTATCGAGGTCATCGCGCTTAGCGAGCCACTCGACGCGTTCCTCACAGATCTCGTTGTAGCATCGCGTCATATCTTCGAGGCTTTTCTCCATCGGAGCGAGTCGGGCTATTTCTTGCTCGAGTTCGGCGATACGATCCTTGAGCTTTCGGATCTCGTTGGTGTGCTCCCCTAGCGCCTTCGCGCGGGCCTCGACCCGCAATTTTTCAAGCTCGTCTTCTCGCTGCTTCTGCAACTCTTTATCGAGGTCATCGCGCTCGTCTCGCTTCTTTTGATCCCACTCGCACCGTTCTTCTTTTAGCGCCGAGTCACGATCCTTGAGTTCTTGCTCGCGCGATTGATAATCCTCGAGGAGGTTCTTCTTCTCATCTCTGTCTGCCTCGGCATCGCGCGCCTTCTTTGCGAGCTCCTCCTTCTCGCTCCTGAGCGCGTCCAGGCGCGTTTCCAGATCTCTCTTCGCGCCTTTGAGGAGTTTGACTTCGCTCCGAGCGCCCTCGAGCGAAGCCTTTGTTTTGTCGAGGTCGCCCCGAGCATCCGTTAACTCGCGGTGAAGTTCACCTTCATCGCGCTTGATCTCTTGCCCTGCGCGGTACAGAGCCTGGACCTTTTCGAGTTCCTCCACGCGGCTTCGCAACTCGTCGCGCTCGAGCTCGAGCGCGTTTCGATCCTCGAGTTTTGTGCGGAGGGATTGATTTTCTTCAAAGACTTTGGAGAGTTGCTCTCTCGAGTAGCCCTCGTTCTCCTCGATGACACGGAGGCCATGGAGCTCGATGTTCAACGAGTGGATGCGCTTGTCTCGCTCTTCGAGTTCTCCTCGCTTGCTTTTGAGTTCCTCTTCGAGACGCTCGATCTCCTGTTGCATTCTGGTGATCGTGCCTGGCCGAAACTTGCGAATTTGATCGACCTCGTCATCGATCAGGGCGTCGATCGCCTTCTGGCTCTCGATGATCTTCCCCGCGCTCTCGGCCAGTTCTCTTTGGCGACTTTTGACATCCTCTGCGAGGTCGCGTGTTTTGGCGTCGAGCTCGCTCGCCAACTCTTTCTTGTTCTCACCAAGCTGTGCTTCGAGCCCGCCGATGCGTTTCTCGAGAGGATCTCTCAGAGCTTCTCTCTCGACCCGCCAATGCTTCTTGATGGCGTCATCGATCAGAGCAGATATCTTGTCGTTGGAGAGGCGAGACTCGAGTTCCTTTTGAACCTCTCGAATGGTCGTGGCGGCGAGTTCGTGTTTGCCATCATCTCTCCCGACGCTCGCTGCCTGAACTGTAAGTTCATTGCCGATCTCCTCGACGCTGCTATCCACAACTTCGAGCCTGCCATGCAGGGTCGAGACTTCTCGCGCGACGACATTCGCGATTGTCTCGAGCGAGCGGCTGATGTGCTCGCGCGTGGCGACGATCGCCTTCTCCAACTCGGAGCTGTCGAACGGAGCAGGCGCCGGGATCGGAGCTGCCTTGTTTTGTTGCGCTTTTTTCCTTCCTTGTGACACGATCGTTTTCCTCTCTTCGACGGGTTCAGGCGTTTTATCGGCGCTCGCAAAGAGGAACCCGTCCCAATCGAGCTCGCCGTATTCTTTCTTCTTCTTGTATGTTTCGCCGCCATCGAGCGAGATCCTGGTGTTCTTACCTCGCCGCGCGAGCTCCTCATCGAGCTTCGCTCTGGTCGCGATGTCGATCGCTCTCGGGCCGCTTTTCGTTTTGATGTAGAGCTTTGGCATATCTCGCCTTCGAGGTTTCAATCAGTGGGGAGTTTGACAAGTTTCGGGTGGTCAGCAGGGCGAACGCGAGCGCGCGTATCCTCGAAGAGAATCGCCACGCACGACTCCAACGAGAGCTCCTCTCCAGGCCTCAGATCCGTCCACGGCTTCCCGATAAAGTTCATACGCCACGTCTGTTCGCTCACGTTCGAGAGCGCGAGGTGCCCGCGCTCATCACGCCTCACGACAGCGAACACGTCGTCTCCTCGATCGCCCGGAAACTTCAACAGGTGGTGCCCGCACAGCGTGGTGCCCTCTCTCAAGATGATCACGCGGCCATCCTCGAGCCTCATGCGCGCAGGGAGAGAAATCCTGGCACCACAATCCCAACACCGCGCGCGGGTCAGAGGAGCAGCGCGCAACACATCGACATCGTAGAAGTTGTCTGCACCACAAGGGCAAGGACAGAGCGAGTCGAGCAGGCGGCGCATCACCTCGATCCACTCGGTCTCACGCACTCGCCCATCGCGAGGATCAGCGATTCCCTCCGTGAAGGAGCGCGTGAAGTGATCCTTCAAGAAGAGCGGATAAATACCCCAGTAGAGTATGACGCTTTGCTGACGCTCCGGGTCGGGTCGATTGCTCACGTCATCAGGGTCGAAGATAAATCGCGGCGCGTAGCCATATAGCTGCTCCATCGCAGGGAGATCGAGGCAGCGAATGTTTTGCTCGAGCGCCCCCTCCAACGGGTGATGCACCATGAACATGTAAAACAGAAGCACAGCGAGGGACCACCGGTCCGTGTCCGCGCACGGCCGCCCCTCGCCCCGAACGATCTCGGGCGCCATGAAACGCATCGTGCCGAGCACCGAGGTCTCATCACCATCGACGACCACGTTATCGTTGTCACAGATAAGGATCGCTCCTGTGTGTGGATGAATGAAAATATTCTCGAAGTTGATGTCCCCGTAACACATGCCCCTCGCGTGGAGATCACGGAACGCTCCGGCCAGGCGCGCGGCGCTCGTCACGAGCGCTTGATACGAGATCTCGACCGCGCCACTCATCAACTCCGTCACGGCGCGATAACCGGGCTCGAGCATGGGCATCAGGTATCCAAAACCCTTGTCCTCGGTGTCTCGAACCACCGCCACAGGCCACAGGAACGCGTCAGAGGGGCGACCGATGGCGATGAGCCTCGAGAGGCGTCGCGAGATCTCCTGACTCGAGCCTGGTTCGTACCACTTGAGCGCGAAGTACTCATCGCACACTCGCGCGCGCCAGACGCTGCCTTGACCACCCTCTCCCAACTTCTCGAGGAGCTCGACCGTCTCCCCATCAAGCTCGCGCGCGAGCGTTTTAATATCTCGTTTCATCGAGTGAATCCTTCTGTCAGAGCGCGTATATGACGACGTAGCGCAGATGTCTTTCGAGACCGGGACGCATCCGGGGAGCTTCGCTGAGAGGGCTCGTGAGGGCTCATGTTTTGAAGGGGTTCGTGACGATACAACACGACGAGTGTGGCGTCGTCTCCGCTCCCCTCTCCAGAGTACTCCGAGAGCCACCGCGGGAGCTCCTCTTCCAGCTCATCTCGACCTGCGCGATCGCGAACCATCGCGGTCAGATCTGCGGTGAGTTTGAGAAAATCTGGCGTCGATCTGAAGCTGTTTTGCACACCATCCGTGCAGAGAATCACGGTTTCGAGGTCATCCGCTGGCGAGACCGAACAGACAAACAACTCGCTCGCGCGCTCGAGGCAAAGAGAATGTGTCTCGTCTCCCAATGACTCGTCCTGACATGACACCCCGAAACGCACTGACTCTCCTTTGGCACACGAGATGCTCCCATCACCGAGCGTGAACTCGAGCAAGTGATCCTGTGTGAGGATGACCATGGAGAGGGTCGCGCCGTAAGCAGTCACCGGAGCGAGGATCATTCGAGTCGCGTCGACCCCGTGAGCGACCTCGCGCGGGGTCAGCGGATGGCGCAAGACATCGCGCGCGATGCGCTCGCGCCAGCGCTCTAAAAACACTTCGGGGAACTGCTCGCTGTCGACCAGAGGGTTAAACTTACCTGCAGTCGTCACCGCGCGCGCGACCTCGATCGCGGTCCTCGATCCTACATGGCTCCTGGGGTGGGCGGGGCCCCCATGGCCGTCTGATATGCATGCGGCGAGCCCTCCTCCCGGTACGCGCCAGATACCGAACGCGTCCTGGTTCGGAGTGTGTGTGCCGTGACGCTTTGCCCCTCGGCTCGAGGCTCCGATGCCTCCCCACAGTCGCCTGGACACCACCTCACCAGACATCACCGCTCCCCTGATCATCGGGCTCCGGGATCGACCCGAGCTGGACGTTGAGCGAGGAGGTGCTGTTTTCAGCGCGTCGACTCGTTGGAGAAGAGACCGCCTGGATAACCGCGGTCGATGCCCAACGAATGTATCGGACGAGATCCTGTGGATTCCTTGCTTCGAGCACCGGGATCTCGCTGTTGCCGATAAATCTCTCGAGGGGTTCATGGGCCGCGTCCTGGCCGATCGCGATGCTCAGGCGCACTGCCTTGGACGCCCAACGGGTCTTCTCGAACTCGGCCAGTCCTGCCCCGAACTCATCTGTGGGGTGGCCGTCTGACAACAGGATGAGGACTGGAGGCAGCGCGCGAGCCGACATCACCTCGACATCCATCGCTTCAGCGAGCAACCTCATCGCGCCTCCCATCGAGGTGGCTCCGCCAGTCGAGAGGTCGCGCCAGGAGAAGTCCTTCACAGGCGTGGGGACATCGTGGTGCCAGGACGCGCTGTTCGAGAACGAGATCGCGCGCACCAACACCTCACAGTGAGGGTTCTGGCCCGCGACCTTCTCGAGGTGGGGTAAGCACTCGCGCACAGCCTGGTTGAGGGATTGGATCTTACCGAGGCTCGCCATCGAGCCAGAGCAATCTGCCAAAAAAATCAAATGAAGCGGCCTCGCCGCCAACTCACCACCTGGTCGTCTACCCATATCGATCGCCTCCTTCATGACCTCGAGCCGAGTTATTGTTTCGCTCACCATATGGAGGGTCGCGATTCGGTTTGCTGACACTTCGCGTGAAGAAAATTCTTCGGGTCGGGGTAGTGAGAGCGCGGCATGTTCAGTTCATGAACTGAACATGCCGCGCTCTCACTACCCGAGCATGCGGCCGAGGTGTCGACCTGCCTGCCTCCCGGCGAGCGAGCCGACGACCTTGCCGAGGCCCTTGCCGACCTTGCGGCCAGCGATCGCACCGCCTGGTCCTCCCACCGCGCCCCCGAGGGCGCTGCCGGCGACGCCTCCGAGTGCTCCACCTGCGGCCCCTCCGAGTAGGCCGCCTGCTGTCTCGAGCGTGCTCTTTCCAAGTGTCTTCGTCATGGTGTCCTCCATGTGTGCGTGGATGCGTGTGTCTGTGTGGCTGCGTACCTGCGCGAGGTCTAGAGCGGACTCTCGCCATCGAGCCAGCGCCCGAGCGCTCTCCCTCCGAGCTCACCGAGCTCCGCGCCGAGCGCGCCGCCGACCTTGCGGCCGGTCTTCCCGCCGACGGACTCGCCGACGGCCTGTCCGACCATCCTGCCTGCCTGTCGCCCCGCGCTCGCGGCGACCTTCTCGGTGCTCCACCAGGAGCCGCTCGATCCTGTTCCCTTTCGATCCGTCATGATGTCCTCCTGTGCTGTGGTCTGCGCGCTCGCCTCGAAGGGAGCGCTGTGGTCGATGCCTTTCGTTTCTGTGAGAGCCTGCTCGCTGATGTGGCTGACAGTTGCGGAGAGGTTTTTCTCCCGAACCTCATCGCCACCACCTCGAACCCACCGCGCTAGCGGATCCGCGAGGTGTCACGAAACCTCGCCGCGGGCATATGCAACCGCCTGCCGTGCTCTCGCACATCGAGCGAGCTGCACCCGAAGGAGCGCTTGCACCCGCCGCGATGGAGCGCGCCGCTCTCGGCGAGCCCCGCGTTGCACAGCGTGAGGTGCTCGAGCGAGAGGTCGAGGAGGGCGTGCTGTGAGCGCAGGTCGAGCGGCTCGCTACAGAGCAGCTCGACATGGGTGACGCCGTGGTTCTCCACGATGGCGCACAGCTTCCTCACCTCGTCGGGAGACAGGTCGGCGTGCTTGAACACGAGCCGCTCGATCTGCGTGCGTCGCGCTGGCCTCATGTAGGTGAGACCGCGCAAATCACTGCGCGTGATCTCGAGGCTTCGCAACGCGTGGAGGTGCCTCGACCCGAGCAAGCGGTGCAGGAGCGCGGCGGCGTGCTCGTGGCCCACGATCGTCACGTGATCGACGTGCGTGAGCAGCGGCCCATCGAGGACATCCTCGACCTCGAGCCTGTGCTGCGCGCCAGGGCGAACGCGCACGTGGCTAAAGATCCTCGCGTAGCGCGAGCCAGGATCGGCGGCGATGTAGCGCCAGATGGCGTCATCGGTCCACAGCATCCGCTCGTCGTCTCTCCAACCACGCCGCACGATCCCCTCGACATAAGGCAAGACCTCGGCCTCGACGCGTCGCGGTGAGAGCGTATGCAGGCGCTTGAGGTAGGCCTTGACGTCCGACCAGTGCCTGCGCGCTGGTGGGGCGTGGAGGGCGACCCGGAGATCCCCGAAGGTGCTACGGAATGTGTCAGCGGTGGTCGGCGTCATGGGGTCCTCCTCACGAGGGGGTGGGGTTATCGTCTCCTCTCACCATGGAGAGGGCCGCGAGGAGATGTGGCTGACACTCTCGTCAGGTTTTCTCCTCGCGGGTCCTCTCGACGCGCTCGTGTTCCCCGAGCTCGCGGTGACGCACAGACAGCATTGCGAGGGGTGTGCCAACCTTTGAAAAATTCTCTTTTTAGCTAGAATTAACGGTAGAATGCGCCATAATGGCACCAAAACAGCACGCCAGTTATACTTTTGTATAACTGGCGTGCTGTTTTGGTATTTTTGCATCTAGATTTTTAGAAAATTCAGTACGCGCTAGAGCTCGAGGAACCTGAGCGTCTCGAGGGTTTGCGCGAAGGGTAGGGTGGGCTCGCTTTCGTCCCAGACGGCCTCGACAAACCGTCGCGCGTTGCGCGCGAGCCGCGACAGATCGCCCGCGGGATGGGCGTCGCACCGTGTCGGATCGAGGCGTGCGGATCGGCGTGGCGATCGACTGCAAGCCCTTCAAGAGCCCGACCTTGTGCAGCTCGGCGCGCTCCATGAGCCCGACGCCTTCGCGTTCCCCGCCCACGGCCTCCTCGTGCGCCGCGAGGGCGAGGATGGAGGCCATGAAGCCGAGCTGCGGTGAGGGGGTGAAGTCGACCGAGTCGGGGACGCGATAGACCTCGCGCGAGAGCGCTACAAAGCGCTCGAAGCGTGACGCTTCCCACTGCTTGTAGCGAGGGTCACTGGCGTCGATGCTAAACGCCGTGGCGAGCCGGTAGGAGGCGGCCGCCTCGAAGGCCCGGTAATAGAGCATCGCCGCGAACTCGCGACGATCGTGGTTCGAGTAGTGATCCGCGAGCAGAATGTAATCGACGAGCAGCAGCCGCTCGTCGAGGTCGTCGCGAGCGCGCAACCTCTCGAGGTGCTCGAACTGGAACGCGAGTCGGGTCGCCTGCGCGCTCGTCAACCCCGCGCGCCCTGCCGCGATGTCGCTCGTCAAGTGAGGGATGTGCTCGGCCATCTCGTCGAAGCGAAAGGCGCACCAGTCGGCATAGAACCTCGAGAGGGTGGCGTAAAATCGGACCTGCTCGCTGGTGCGGATCCTCTTGCTGAGCTGCCTGAACTGCTCGGCGGCGGCCGTGTGATTGCCGCCATTAAAGAGCTCGGTGGCGACCTTGATCTCCTGCTCCCCGAAGATCTCGAGCGGGTTCCCCAGCTGCTTGAACTCCTCCGAGCCTGGAAACGGCGTACGCGTGAGCCTGTCAAAGCGCGAGTCGGTGTAACAGATGTTTAACCCGAGCTGCCAGGCTACGAGCGCGGCGGCAGCGCTCATCACCTTCTTTCCGCCCGTGATGTCGATGTAGTCGATCCCCTTCCCGCGCTCGAGCGTGATGGAGGCCTCATCGATCGACTCCTTGATCACGCGATAGATGTCGACTGGATCGGACGCCTGGCAGAGGCGCTTGGTGATCTGGGAGAATTTGAGCAGGCGGTGCGCCGCGATAAGCGCGTCGCAGATGGCGTCCACGCCACCGAGGCTCTCCTTGGTGTAAACGAGCACGAGGTGCTCGGGGCGAAGCACATAGGCGGCGGTGATGCTCGTCGCCGGCGACAACCCCACCATGCTCACGAGCACGTCGACGCGTTGCTCCCCGCGGCGCTTCAGATAACTCTGACGGACATGTTCGAGGGTGATGGGCGCTATGTGCTCTGTGTGAAAGGCGCGCGCCTGCTCGTGCGAAGCACGCCCCTCGATATAAACCTCTTCACCAGCGCGAATACGCTGCCAACGCTGCTCGAGCTCCTCGAAAGAGCTCTCCGTGACCTCTCGCTCTTCTCCCATCGTCCTCGCGCCTCCTCTTGTCGTCCACCTTTGATAAACGAGCCAGCCATCGCGCGTCAGTAAAGGTGAGGTGTGAGAGGAGGTAAACCCAATGCTGCTCACGCGTCAACGCGACAGCCAACGAATACAACGGCGGCCGCCACGAGCGCGATGGGGAGTGGAAGGAGCGAGTTCGACCTCTCTGTAGGCATCTTTGCTCATGGCGACGACCTCCGATAGGTGGAGCCTGCATTGGCTCACACCACCCGAGAGCGCGCCAGGAAGGGCGCGCTGACACTTTATCTCATCGACACGCTGTCCATGCCACGATGAGAGGTCGCGCGTTTTTCTACCCGGGTCTCGGGGGACACCGATCACACGATCGGTGCTTCGATGAGCCGCTCCACGAGCGGTTCGAGCGTGTCCATGGCCTCCTCGACGAAGGTGCGCAGGGCACCAGGAGATGAGAGCGCACGCGACACGGCCGCGTTTGATGTGTGGTGTGCATGTTGATTGGTCCCGTGCGCGACGCAGTTGCGCACCTTCTTCAATGTATCGAACACGCTCCTCTCACCTCCCTGAAAGGGACTCCCCGTGTCGAGCTCGGACCGGACGCGCTTGCGGATATCGAAACGCATCACCTGTTTGGGGTCTGAAATCCCCGCGCTCAGGACACCTTCGTAGGTGAGCACCGCGGCGCGCATCGGATCTCCGGTTTCGAGCGCCCGGGATGCCATCCGAAGCTGGATGTCGCTGATGCGCGAGCTCCCGAAGAGCTCCACGAGCTCCTTCTCGATGATGTACCCGATGGTGGCCTCGAGCAGCGAGCCCGCGCGCATCTTCCCGAGCTGCCCCTTGACCTGCCCATACGTCGTGATGGAGCGGTCAAACGCGTTGATGGAGATGAGGAAGTGCAGCTCGTCGACCAACTTCGCGATGGAAGGGTAGCCTGGCTCGAGCAGCGGCACGAGCGGCGCGAGCTGCCCCGCGCGCTGCAATAACACGAGCGCCTCGGCCCACTCGGTGAGCTCCTGCCCGCCAGCGAGCGAGACCGCGCGGTTTGGCTCGAACATCCCGTAGTAAACGCCCTCGATCGCGACGTCGATGGCGGAGGTGAGGAACATGAGGGACTGGATGGCGAGCACGCCGAAGTGGCGAAAGCCGTGCGTGATATCGAGGAACACGCGCTCGCCAGCCGGAATCGCCTGCGCGATGTGACCGAGCAGTGAGATCTGCTCCTCGCCCGTGTCACAATGGCCAACGAGCAGACACCGCACGCTCACACCCTCGAGATGGCTCGCGAGACGCTCGCTAACAAGCTCGAGCATCTGCGCTGTGACCCCACTCTCTAGCTCGCGCTCCTTGAGCGTGAGCCAGTCATCGCTCGCTGCCTGGTCGCTATCCCAACCCGGCACGAGCTCGTGCAGCGTCGACCACGCTGACCCCGCGGTCCCGATGACCACGAGCTCCTCGAGCGCCTCGCCGCGCTGACCGGACAACCACTCGAACAGCGCGAGACCGAAGAAGCTTCGCGACGGCGATGTCCACCCATCCGGAAACGCGTAGGACGTGCGCCTGTACTGTTTTGTGGGAGAGGCGCCGCGCGTGGGGTTGCCAAGAATCGTGATGAGTCGGGTCACCGTAGCCTCCTTGATCGATGAGTCATCCCTTGAACCACACATTCTGTCGTCACGCCAGCGAGCGTTCCCGACAACCCTCGACAAAATCGATCCACGAGCGTCAACCGTTTTGCGTGGCTCGCGCTCTACGGAACATCACGACACGAGCATAGCTTGATATCGCCGACCGTGGGGAGTCCCCACGGTCGGCGAACAAACCTCGTATAACCGCATAAAATCAGCACAGCAGCGAGCGTGGGCAATCCCCCCGCTCGCCATAAAGCCTTCTATTTTATCATGATTAGTCAGTGCTTATTTTAAGTTTCATTGATTCTTCAAATATTCGACCCTCAAAAATGTTAGGCCACCCTAAACTGTACCAGAGGTCAAAAGGGGCAAAACCCCCGACCTCTGGTACAGTTTTGCAAAATCGAGGTCTTACCGGTGGTTATTTCAATGAAGGCTAAATAAGTCGATGAGCATGGATTTATCTACATGACATGCTCGTCGATGGAAATGTTGCGACGCGAAGATGGCGAGAGGGTCAGGAGAGGGCATCGCGCGCCAGGAGCACAATTCCATCGACTGATTTAACTTTTGCTATATCGATCGAAAGTGCTGATGCGCATTGATACAGGCTGACTATAAAAATTAGCCTGATATAACCGAGAAGTTTATCGTATTCATAAACCACTGGTCTACACGAAATTAGCCAACTCTAAACTGTACCAGAGGTCGGGGGTTTCGGGGTGTTCGACCTCTGGTACAGTTTTGTGCGTTGCACACCTCTCTCAGGGGCGCTATATTTTCGGTCGCGACCTGTCGCGAACCCTTCCCTCGATTTGGAGAGGACTGAAACTCCTTATAGACAACCTCGACAACATCATCTGGAGTAACGTCGCGAACCCTTCCTCGATTTGGAGAGGACTGAAACTGGAGCGGTGCGGCGCCATGTACGAGCTCAACATCGTCGCGAACCCTTCCTCGATTTGGAGAGGACTGAAACAGTAGAACCAACACCAGTTATGCTCAGACTGAAGGGTTGTCGCGAACCCTTCCTCGATTTGGAGAGGACTGAAACCTACTTTCAGGATCGGTCCAAACCTCTAACGTCCAATTGTCGCGAACCCTTCCTCGATTTGGAGAGGACTGAAACCCCGTTGTATTTCTCGAATGAAGGCATGTCGGCTCCTGTCGCGAACCCTTCCTCGATTTGGAGAGGACTGAAACTGAAAAGACCGCCTGCGTTCTACCTGGAAAGGGTGTCGCGAACCCTTCCTCGATTTGGAGAGACTGAAACAGCAATGGTTTCTTCGTTAGCGATCATTTCGAGAATTTGTCGCGAACCCTTCCTCGATTTGGAGAGGACTGAAACTTCGAGAATTTCGTTAAGCATGTTAGCTCCTTTCAGGTCGCGAACCCTTCCTCGATTTGGAGAGGACTGAAACACGCTTTGAGCGCTGCCTTGTACGCACGCTTGAGCCCTGTCGCGAACCCTTCCTCGATTTGGAGAGGACTGAAACCGCATCTAGGAAAAACTCCAAGTTGGATATATATCTAATTTACGTCGCGAACCCTTCCTCGATTTGGAGAGGACTGAAACCCGGCGTCGCGGTCCTTGGAGATCATGGTCTCGTTGCCGGTCGCGAACCCTTCCTCGATTTGGAGAGGACTGAAACTTAGGGAACCTAGCGATCTCCCGTGGTACGCTAAACACGTCGCGAACCCTTCCTCGATTTGGAGAGGACTGAAACACAGAAACTTGAGCCAACAGGATGTTTTTCTTGAACGAGTCGCGAACCCTTCCTCGATTTGGAGAGGACTGAAACCATCGCCCTTGCTCTTCGTCTCCAAACGTTGCAACCCAAAGGTCGCGAACCCTTCCTCGATTTGGAAAGGACTGAAACTCCTCTGCGACGCACACCTCGCACGGCATCCCCTCGAGTCGCGAACCCTTCCTCGATTTGGAGAGGACTGAAACCCGGCGTCGCGGTCCTTGGAGATCATGGTCTCGTTGCCGGTCGCGAACCCTTCCTCGATTTGGAGAGGACTGAAACACCGTCGTGGTGACCGTATCGTCGATCCCGTCAAAGGTCGCTGACCCTTCCTCGATTTGGAGGTGTCAGGTTCAGGAGATCGCGGAGGTCGTGCCCGAGCAAAAAGAAGCCGCCGGGTCATTTTGTCATGAGGCTGGAGTCGTCTGGTTCCAGTCAGCAAAATGACCCGGCGGCTTCTTTTTGCGCGCCGCAGCGCTTCTGATGTTACGGGCGAGGTGGTGCAGGTTTGGAGATGTCAGCTCTCGCGGGCAGAAGCTCTCAGTTCGCCGCGTTTTCCGGTGCGAACCGCGACTGCTCGTTCACCTTCTCTATCTCGATCGAGACATCCATCTGGTCCTTGATCTCGCTGACGTGCGAGATGATCCCGAGCTGGGTACCTTTCTCACCGCCGAGCTCCGCGAGCACCTCCAACAGCTCGGCGCGGCGCTCGCCATCGAGCGCGCCGAAGCCCTCGTCGATGAACATGCTGCGTGGCATCTTCTCGGCGTTCATCCCCTGCATGTCCCGAAGCCCCAGCGCGAGCGCGAGCGACACGAGGAACTTCTCTCCGCCAGACAACGTGTAGCGCGAGCCAGTGCGGTTTGCCTGCAGATCCTTCAGGTCGAACTCCGCGGTGTTCGAGGATGTCGTTTGCTTTAACTCGAGGCGCCCGCTCGTGAGCCTCTTCAGGCGCGCGTTCGTGTTCTTTAGCAACACACCGAGGTTCAGGCGCTGCTTCATCTCCTGCATCTGCTCGCCGCCCGCGACCTCTTTCAACAAAACCAACCGATTGTAGCGCGCTCGCGCCTCTTCGATGTCCGCCTCCAAGCCCCTTTCTACCAGGTTGTTGTGCTGTGCGATCTTCTCCTTGGCCTCTTCGATCTTCTTGCCGAGTTCCGCCACCTCCTCTTCCTTCAAGGCATAGCGCGCCTTCAGCGCGTCGAGGATCTCGTCCACACCGCTCCCTGGCGCCAGACCCACGCGAACCGCGACCTGGTCGAGTTTGGATCTACCGAGGAAAGCGGGCTCATGCTCTTTACGAGCTGTGGCGAGCTTCTCCTCCGCTTCGCGCAGATCTTTCGAACCACGCTCGATGCGCTCGACCTCGGGATCGTCGAGCAGGTGGCCGAGCAAGGTGTCGATGTCATCACCGAGGTTTTCGAAGAGCGCGGCGAGCTTCTCTTCGAGCAGCCGCACGTTCTCTTCGCGCGAAGCGATGTCTCCCTGGATCGACTTCTGCTTTTCGAGGAGTTCGCCGCGCCTCTTCGCCGCTTCGAGCGCGGCTTCTACCTGTTCACGCTCCGCTTCGAGCGCATCCTTCGGGCCATGCTTCTTGTTGAACCCCTCCAGCTCTTCGCGCGCTTGTGATTCCACCGCAGTGGCAGTCTCGAGCTGCGCGGCGAGCGCAGCGAGTTCTTCTTCGAGCCGCGCGAGGTCGCGCTTTTGTTGCTCGAGAGGCTATCTCGGTGCTATCCTCGCGCCTCCAAAACAACGCGCGGCGAGTCCAGGAGAAAGGAGGGAGCGTTTGAGCGAGTCAGAATCGATGGCCGAGTGGCTCTGTTTTATCGACGAGACCGGTAACTTCAATGACCCGAAGAGCGCCGTGTTCACGAGCGCGGTGCTCGTCGAATGTGAGAACGAGCCGACCCTTATCGCGCGCATCCGGCAGGCGATCCGGCAGATCGCGCCGCTCGCGCCCTGGCCGATGCACGCCTGGCTCGCGAATCGCCCCACCGCCCACGCGCTCTGGGCCATCGCGCACCCCGTGCTCGCCGAGCGTCACGGGTTCGCGGCGTCCGCAGATGCCGCGCGACGGCACTGGGAGGAGACCGCGCCCGAGGCGCTCGAAAACTCGCTCCAACGGTTGGAAGAGGGCAAAGAGCCGAGATACGATGACCTTCGAAGCCTGGAACGCGTCGAGGACGCCCAGAACTGCTTCATCGCCTTCGCATCACACGCGTCGAGGTTGCGGTGCCGCATGGCGTGCCTCGGGCGAGAGCTCTCGCAACGGCGCATCCTCGGCGTGATCGCGGGAGAATCACAGCCCCTCGAAGCTGACAGCGAGGATCGCTACCTCGCGCTGCTCTCGACGCTGATCGAGCGCATCGACGAGCTCCTCGCGCTCGAGGGTGATGACCGGCCCGTACACCTCGTCATTGCCACACGCCGTGTGATCCATCCCATCTCGGGGGAGGAAGTGGAGTTCTTGGAGTTGGATTCGAACGCGCTCGAGGAGATCTTCACCGTGCGGCCTTCAGGCTTTGACTCGGGTCGCACATTCCATGCTCGCGCCATCCAGGCCTATGGCGCTGACGTGCACCCCGGGCTCGTGCTCGCGGACTTCTTCGCAAACCTCACCTATCGCCATGCTCGCCACGCGCGCAGCCTGATCAAACTCGATCGCAAGATCGAGATAAACATTGGCTTGAGGCTTTGCCCTGGAGAGCCGAGGCGACCTCACGCCGCGGCGCTCGGGTCCGCGGCGGAGTGGTTGCGACAAACGCGCGAGAATCAGCCCGCGGGTGCCCCCGACATCGAACCCGCCTGGGCTCGCGATCAGGCCTTCATGCTCCCCCACTGCTGGAGCTGACGCTCGCACGTGGCGACTTCCTTAAAAAGGAGACCTCATGTCCACTTCCCCGACAGCTCGGGTCATGACGCTCCAGCAAGCGCTGGCGAGCCTCGGCCTGAATCACCCCGATCGTATCGAGGCGCTGCAGGTGCTCGGAAAAGAACTCCTCGGCTCGCCAGGCGCGCCCACGCGCTGGCAAAAGCTCGCGGCCAAGACCTTCGACGCTCACTACAGCCTGCAGGAGCGCTTCGATCGCGCCGACGAGATCATCGGCGACCTGATGCTCCGGTTCGCCAACAGCGCCGATGGCTACACCACGGACAACGCCAAAGCCTACCTGCGTCAGTGCATCGTTCACGAGGCACGGCGCGCGTCGATGAAGGAAGCCAGGCACCAGAGGAATCGAGACGTGGGTGGAACCTCCGATGAGGGTGAACACATCGACCCGCTCGAGCGCCTCTCCTACGAGGACGCGCAGACCCCGGAGGAGCGCGCCGTCCTCATCCTCGGGGAGCACCCCAACCTCGGGGAGGTCGCAAAAACCAACGGCGTCGAGGGGATCGATGGTTGGGTCAGCGCGCTCCTGAAGGAGAGGGTGATTCCGCTCCTGACGCGCTCGGACACCCGCGAGAACACGACCTCCGCGCTCGATGTGATGTTAGAGATCCACAGCGCTGACGCCACGCAACACAGCATCGTGCTGGCGAATCACCCGGGGTGGACCACGGCGCACCCTGAGTTCGACAAGGAGCTCAACACCCTGCAGCAGCAGTGCAGCCGCGCGCGCAAATACCTCACGCGCGAGCTGGGCAAGTTGACGCATACCGAGCTCGGTATCACCGAGGCCGAGCTCGACTTCGTGTACGCATTTATCGCGAGCCTGTAGATTATTTTCGCACAAAGTGTCAGCGCACCGCCCGCGCCCGCTCTCTGGGGATATCCGGGCGTCGTCTACGATGACTTTGGCCTCGGGTTTCGGTAAGGACACATCAGAAGAGAAGTTTGAGATGAGTGGTAACGATAAGATCAAGCAGCAGCTCCTCGACCTCGGCCTCGAGGTCGACACCCTCGGCGAGCCCGAGGCGCTCGAGCGCGCGAGAGAGGACAGCAGCAAGGGGTTCGTGCGTGGGGAAGCGCTCGATATGGCCACGCTCGACGACGCGCTCGGGACCTACATCCCGAGCAATGCGGCCGATC